TTTTGGTTTCAATCAAAAAATTCAAATTCTAAATGCCAGACAAAACTATCCTCATCACTAAAGAGAGAAAACTTTTGTGTATACAAATACCGGATCGTCCATCTCTACATCCGTCACAGCCTGAAAACGAAGCGTCGAACATGAAGCATGAAAGGACTGGTTTTTCTGAAATTTAGCGAGACAAAACTGCCTTGTAACAATCGTAGAAACTTCTGAGTTGCTGTATTGATAGTAGAAGCTTTGGACTACCTCCCTTTGAAAGTCATAGATAGAGAACAACCAGAATTTTCTTATGGCAATTTGCATACGAAATTATTTTTTGAGCCAACCTAACGAGATGATTGCTCTACCAACTGAAGGTGCCGAGAAAAGAAATCGAAAAATTGCGGAAAAGTTCAAAATCTCACATCGTTTTGTGAATTCTCAGGAAGGAGCTATGTAAGTCATCCACTGGGAGCCTCTGAAATGCACAACTTGCATTCGTACCTGTTTTTATCCCAAGTAATCTTTCACTAACTGTAAGAACCGATCTTTGGAAGCGTGCAGATGCGTGTAATCTTGATAACATCTATTGTAGATTTATTTCTCCAAGGTTATTCGGCAAGAAAAAAACATCCGCTCTTGTATTTTTAGATTGACAGCTGCTTGATATTTATCTTCGAAACACAGCAACAAAACCAGCATAAACATTGTCACGTGCGAGACAGAAGTTGCAATAATTAGTCAGCAAATTTTTTGTATTTGAAGGCGAAGAAGGTTTTGTAGTCAGAAATATCGATATTTCTATCAGACCATCAACAAATGTGATTAGGATCTACAGGATGTGAATAGGTAACGCTAAGGGTAGTTTGGCTTCCCACATATTGATATTTTTTCTGCAGCTCCATGAAAGTCAAAGATATTATGACTACAACGGAAAAGTGAAGTGGATGACTCAGCTTTCCAGAAGCAGATACTACCGTTTAACAAACCAATGACAACTTCCAGGCTTTGTTTGCTATGCGATTTTCAGCATAGCAACTTTTTCCACCGAACTATGCAAACAGTCTGAAGCAAACATTGCAAATGACGCACGTTAAGAAACCCTCTTCAATAATGACCCAACAATGGATCTCTGAACAAAGTTGTGTGTCTGTGGCACAAAGGTCTTTTATTACGTGATAAGAATGCGGAAGCAGACAACATGTTTGCTTCGTTTCGTAGTATATCTGGCTTCTCAAATATTTTGATGCGTTTACGTAGTCCAAAAAACACTATTTTTACTTACATTATTTTTACTTTTTTTCTGAATTTTTACTTTTACATACTCTTTACGCTTATCACTATTTCTGGAATCTCTTGTTTGATACTGGAGTAAGAATTACGCAGTTTCTTTACTTCTAACAAACTGGATTCAAAGTGTTAGGAAATTAAAGAGCAAAAATTCGATACTGTGATGGATGATTGGTTAAGGAGATAATGCTGAGACTTTTTTTCAACCACCTTCAAAATGGGTTGATGGTACTCATTTTTCACTTCGCTACATTTCAAGATTGAAGATGAGCTTGTAACATATTGTACGATTTGTGACTTCTGCAATGTCTGGGTCCGGTGTATTCTTTTTAAAGTTTTTATAAAATGCGCTATTCCACTGGTATCAGCCCTTATGAATGAGTTCTCAAGTATATCTTGCAACTTATTTTGATTTTGAAAAAATCCTTTTGCATTCACCGAATATCGCGTGATGACTGCAGAAAATGGGTTCGAAGTGCTTGTATTGAAGATAACATTGAAATCAAATTCCATCTACAATTTACGAGATTTTTCTAGACATTCATATTCTATTTCAAACCAGCTTAAAGTACGATCACGATGCAAAGTTGCAACTCGTTTGACTGCACTTTGAGTACAAGTATCCCTCAGCTATTAAATTACAGAGTCAAGACCAAAGACGCCTAAACTTGCTCCGGAATGCCCAAAAATCAACAACTTTACGTACGAAGATAGACTTTACGGATAGCTTATATCCAGAACCGAATGCCTCGAGCTCAATTCAACTCGACTTTACGCAAAAAAAGAGATAACAAATCGGACAGCTCAGTTAAAGGGAGTGTCCGCGCAGATTTGGAGCTCCTCAGTTCCAACAGTT